GACCCCTCCCTGGCAGGGCTGAAGGCCATGTTGGATGGAGCGCGGAGCACCCTGGGCTGGTGGAAGGGGTCCCTGCCCATGGCAGGGGCGTTGGAACCAGACGATCTTTAAGGACCCTTCCAACCCAAAGCATTCTATGATTCTATGATTCTACTATTACTACTCTGATGCTATCTTGGTATTAAACGTTCAGGAGCAGAATGACATGAATTACATTTTTTGCCTTTTTTCTCTCTTCACTGTTCCTTCTGACCCGAGCCTCACCAAGGGACTAACTGTGGGTTATAATTTACCGCCATGCGCTGTGAAGCAGCAATGATGTTTCTGTCTCTGAACTGAGAGCCCCTTTTCCCGTTCATCACATTCTGAGTGACAAGTGTTGGGTTTTGTTCTGCGAACATCTGCAGATCTCATTTCTTCTCTTCAGAAGAGAAAAAGTCTCAGGAAGATGTTGTTCTGCTAATGGTGCAAGTGTAGATGTCAGAGGTCTGAGCCTTGCAGGCACTGCTTTTGGCTACAGGCCCTTCTTTCTCAGAAACCTCAGTCTGGCAGCAGGATTTTCTTACATGCACATTTATGTGAGGTCCATTTTTTTTTGCGATTTGGGAGTGGCTCAGAGATATTGCATATGTGAGTGCAATCTCAGAGGCCACCTGACATTACTGAGTTTACTGCTAGGCCTTGAACCTTTTACAAGAATCAGCTTTGCAACCTGTCAAATTGCTTCATATACAAAAAAACCAAAAAGAAGCCTAAGACAAAAATCTAGCAGGCCCCAAAAAAAAAATGGCCAAGCAAATAAAAATACTGGGTCCTGAGTTCAGTGAAACGCATCTGTTCAGTGCTGCAAACACTTTGCGGAGGTTATTTTCAGCCTTTTCCTTACCCAGCTTAAGACCAATATCTGAAATTAAATGTGAAATAAAAATCTCCGTAAAAAGGAAGAAGTTTTGTGTTTACCAAGCACACTTTACAAGTCTCCAAGGATTCTTCTAAAATAATTAGTCATTAATAATTAAGGATTTATTTGGCTAAGGCCTACATTAAAGAACCAGAAGAAAATCATCACTCTCACAAATGGCTGTGAAGCAGCCCAATGAAGTGTGGAACATGTCACCTAACAATTAGGGCTATTCATCACCCCAAACAAGAGAGCCGTTGTCACTGCAGCAACTGAAGCTGTCATTGTTCTTCTTTGCAAGATGGAGACATGGACTTCAGCACAACCATCAGCATTTTGGAGAACTGGATAATTCTACGCAATAAACTGGTCAGTATCTTATGCGAGCGAATGTTGCAGGGGCCAAACACGTTCTTGTCCTCATCTTCACAAATACCAGCTTCTGTGGAAACCCACAGGAACGGGGCTCAGTCAAGAGCAGATCTGAATATGGCTGCACAAATACAGAAAAGGGGAAGAGCCTGGGACATCTGCAATAAACCAGCGCTCATTTAAACGTCATCACTTGGTGCTATGCAACGCTTTCAGCGAGGATCCCCATCAGCCTGAGAGGAAACCCGTTCTCTGCGCTTCACCCCGCCAGCCCCGTCCACGCGTGCAGCCGCACAACCTACCTCGGGAAAGTACGACTTCGAAGTTCTTTTATAAACACTTGGCTCCCGTTCTGCACAGGTTTGACCTCTGTCGTCTGTCCAGTATCGTGTTTATGCCAGTTTCTTTTCTTTTTCACTGAAAAAGAATGAATTGGACAGTACCACACGTTAAGCAGTACCGCACGTTAAGCAGAAGATAATTATTAAGACATTTGAAGGAAGGACAAGTCTTCATTTCATTCCTTACACGAGCAGAGAAGAGGGAACCCCCACTATGCTGCACTGCAAATTTTAATATCGCTCTCAATTCACCATTAGACAATCCTATCGTAGCCTGAAGATCTATTACATACGGAACAGTGTTCGTTTTGTAGCATAAGGGCAACCAGACGGATAATTACTGAGCGGCACAGCTACCGTAGGCTTTATGCAAACACAGGCTCTGGACATTTTGTACTCGCCAGACTACACACTTCATCCTTATCGCAAAACTCTTAGAAAGCCACTTTTCTGCCTCCTCAATAGGCAGTATAGATCTTTCTGAACAGACTCGTCATGAATTACCTCGGTCTAAAGGTCTGTCCAGCAGCGGCAGATTTGACATTAATTCTGATGGGCTTTGCACACAGCATGCACATAAAGTGAAAAGGAAAAAAAAAAACAAAAAACATGCCAGGCACCACAAATGCAATTTTTAGAACTCCTCTTATGCCTAGGTTTTGAAAGGCAAGCCAGGCTCAGTCCTTAAGCCGACGAGAGCAGACCGAAGGCCCCTCGACTGTGCTCCCAGTGGGTGACAGACGTACAGGCAAGTCCATCATGGAAAAAGGGTCAGCCGGAATGAGCACAAATAAGTCAAATGCCAGCGTAGTTCTGCCTTGCCTCTTTGACAGCCAGATAACGCTGAGCAAGAAAAACTGGTCCAGCTTTTTCCCTTAGTCAGCACTATCTCTCTCAGCTGTTCCCACTTCCACAGCGCGTTCCAGACACACTCATTTTGGTCATAAACTGTTTTTTGTCCCAAGTGCGTATTTGTATTCAGCCTCTGTTAGCAGAATTTTCATATGTCACAACTTACTTTTATTTTCCACCCTTGTTTTACATCATGAAACTCAGTATTTTACCCCCTAATCAAGATCTCTCATGCTTTTCTTACAAAAAACAGCTAGGGCAGGGCCCAGACCCCTCAGTAACCACGCCACGGACGGCAGGCTTTCCTCGCTCTTTGCACACACCCACCCACCCACACCCACACACCCCCCCACACCCACATACTTTTTCATTACAAAAGGAATCTGGAGGCCACAGCTATAAGACAGGAGGTTCAGAAAAAGCTAACTTTGTTTTTTGCCGACCTCAACGCAGGAATAACTCCAGTAAAGACGTCTCCCAACGAATCCATCCCAGGTTTTGCACAAAGCATGCTGGTTTTATTAGTTCCATGCAGCTCTCCAGCCTAGCTGGATATACTCATTAAAGCTGCTAGTTCTTTATCTTAATGACTCTCAGGCTTAGTGTATTAGTTCAATGCTCCTGGTAACAAAGGAAACAAGCCCTACATGAATGCCAAGCCTTCCTCCTCTCCTTCCCTTTCCGAGCACCGCCGCCTCCCCCTCGCAGCAGACCCGAACCAACACTGGGACTCTGCGCACAAGACCGAGGGAAGCAGGTGTCGCTTGCCACAGTGAAAATTAAAGAGCTTATCATATTATCGTATTCTTTTATTACGCTTCAGATAGCGTGGAGCATCGAGAAGTGAAAGTGGTATACCAGTGCTAAGAAATTCACTGCGACTCTTCAAAAAGCACCAGGGAGCTACTTTCCTTGGCACAGCGCGCCGACAAGCATCCACCTCCCGCACTCACCTCCTCCCGCATCCACCACCTCCAGCACCCACCACCTCCAGCACCCACCTCCTCCAGCACCCACCACCTCTGGCATTCCCCACCTCCCGCATCCCCCACCTCCTGCAGAGGCAACAGGGATGCCACTGCCGCCCAAACACACCCCAGGAGGTGCCAGCTCCAGGACAGCAGCAAGCCGGGTGCTGTAGTCCATTATGCTACATCAAGCAATAGACATTTGGCCCATTTTCAGCCATTCCCTTTATGTTTTGTCTTTCCCATGAACACCACAGTAAGGATTAAAGGCCCACTAACACGTGCAACAAATACCAGCTTTGGCCAGAAAGGCCACTTATTCTTAAATGATCACACAGAATCACAGAATCACAGAATAGTAGGGGTTGGCAGGGACCTCTGTGGGTCACCCAGCCCAACCCCCTGCCCAAGCAGGGTCACCCACAGCAGGCTGCACAGCACCGCGTCCAGGTGGGGCTGGAATATCTCCAGAGAAGGAGACTCCACAGCCTCCCTGGGCAGCCTGGGCCAGGGCTCCATCACCCTCAGAGGGAAGAAGTTCTTCCTCGGGTTCAGCTGGAACTTCCTGTGCCTCAGTTTGTGCCCGTTGCCCCTTGTCCTGTCGCTGGGCACCACTGAAAAGAGCTTGGCCCCATCTTCTGACACCCACCCTTCAGACACAGATCTCTTTCTGCACAAGTTTCTGATCCAAATTTGACCTTTGCAAAGTGTAACCCGCTCCTTCTACAGGAGACCCCCCAGAGGAAGAAGGGAATACGTTTTCATGAAAACCGTATCTCACAAGGAATAATTCTAGACTTCAGAGATATACTTACATTATTTCAAATGCATTCATGAAGAAGGGATACCTAGAAGCACCCTGTCAGTTGCCTATTGTTTTATATTAAAGGTTGGAACTACTCAAAAACAGTTTCAGCCTGACTTTGGTTTGCTTGCATCTCTGTAACTTCACCAATTCCAAAGAACCTCTCCTGATTTTCACTGCTGCAAATGAGACAGAAAGCAAACCAAACACTTCAGGTTGCGTTATGAAAATGAGTCAACCCTGCCTAAGCAGAGCACTTACATTTTATTTAAATGATGTCAGAAAATTCTGCATGGATGTGTGTAATTTTTCCCAAAGAGGAGTCCCTACAAATGTCATTAAACCGAAATGGCATAAAACATCATATGACAGGAAGCAATCTTCTGAAATAGCAGCCACTAAGCCACACTGGTAAAGTGGAAAAATGTAAGAAGAGGAAAATGATTTTTAAATTTGACATCTGGAAAACATACGTTGTGGAATGCGCGCTGCAGAAATACACGTATATTTTTAAACCCAGACGAGTTGCATAACAGACAATCGGTGTCTGTGTTTCCCTGGGCTAATCTTGCAATAATTAAATCCTACCAGGGAACTACTGGCTCTGGAACAACTCTTGCTCCTTTACCACAAAACTGATAGTGCTAGGTAACTAGTTTAAACATGTATCGTAACAGTTAACACACAAACTCACGCGCTCACCTCGCAGCAGTCCCAGCGCCGCGTAGCAGGGCGCTCGGCACGCGAACGCCTGACAGAACGAACGCATTAAGCCAAGCTGTTTCGGCCTTCGTCTCATCAGCCTTTTACCTTCCCTGGCCTACCGCCCTCTGCAAGGAGGGGCTGCAGGACCGCAGCCTCCTTTGTCAACAGGACCCACCACCCGACGCGCTCACGGGAAGGCGGCCGTGCAGCTTGAGAACCCGCCATCTTGCACTTCACCAAACCGCACGGTGAGGTTGTCCAGAACCAACGTTTCAATGCTCCTGAAACTCTTACACTCAACTACTTTGACAATTGGTCTGGAACGTCACTAAACTTCCTGCAGTGCATCTGAAGGGAGAAAACAAAGCTGCTTTGCTGCAGCATGAGACCATGTTCTGCAGCCCTACCACACTGCTCACCTCACAGACGGAGACTGTGACTAGCGACAGCGCTCCGGCAGCACGTGCTGCTGTGCTGCACGATGCAGACCCAGGGACACACTGCCAAGTTGGATTTTTCTTCGGATAAAAACAATGGGATAGCCAACAACCTTCTCAAAGCATCAGCAGACTGCTACCGGCTCAACTCTCCTCGTGCCAACTGGTCTATTAAACTGGTAATCCTTTTATCAAAACTGCCACTCCTTGAATGCTAAGATTATGCACCAAAGGTTTTATAGAATTGGTATCTAACTCCCAATCACAGACTTTTGCTGCTTCTATCTGATTTTTTTCCCTTCGCACTGAAAGTAGGTGCCCTTCAGCATTCATACTTCCAAGCAAAGTGAAAGAAATCAAAGCATCAGAAACATCTCCACGTTACACAAAACTCAAGAGAGGCGAGAAATCCTGTAGTGCTGCTGCTGCTGGACCGGGTCAGTCACGGCCTGGGAGTACCTGCCCTCACACCCCCCTTTCCAACACAACCCACCCCAACGCCACATTGTTCGCTCAAAGTTCCGTCTGAAGATGAGGAAGAACTTCTTCCCTCTGAGGGTGACGGAGCCCTGGCCCAGGCTGCCCAGGGAGGCTGTGGAGTCTCCTTCTCTGGAGATATTCCAGCCCCGCCTGGCCGCGGTGCTGTGCAGCCTGCTGTGGGTGACCCTGCTTGGGCAGGGGGTTGGGCTGGGTGACCCACAGAGGGCCCTTCCAACCCCTAACATTCTGTGATTCTGTGATTTGTGCTCATTTGTTTGACCAATTTCCAGTGCGTTTGTCAGAAATCTTCCAACAAAACTTTCGAAGGGCTGACTCTTCTAAATCAAAACGTTTTGTAGGGACACACTGATTTTGCTCAGTCTTTCAGAACAAGCCTCCCAAGGGTTTTTTTGCCGGCTCGCCCAATTTGTGGGTGCCCTGCTTGGGCCAAAGGTGTTAGCAGACCATCCAGGAGACGGGAACAGCTGCAGGTCACTCCGGTTTCCAGTTCACACTTGATTTTGAAAAAGTCAAAATGAAAAATAATTCCCATTTCTGCCCCCCAAAACAAACATTTCGGACTCCTCCCTTTCCCCCTAGGACTTTTTTAAACTTTAACTCTTAAGGCAGTGCAGAAATAATTGCTTGGTTTTAAAATGACTGAATTTTAACACAACAGAAGTCAGTTTCCAGCTACTCCTTATTTTGCACTGAAAAAGGAACGTTAGGACTCGCTCGGCTCCTGGGAGAGGAGCACAGTGCTCTTCCTCTGCGTGCTGCTGGGAGGCTGCAAAGCAGCCAGAACCTCCGCACCATTGCTGCTTATTTGCAATAAATGGCTTTCAAGTAAAGCACTTCATCTTTTACAGGGATTGGTTTCTCTTCTGTTTTTTCGTTTTTTCCCCTTTGTATAACAGAAAGAATTTGTGAATTAATCTGACCAAGGCAAACACATCCTACAGTTCTTCCCCAGACGTAGCTCCCACTAAGATCAACTGTCACTTTTACTCAGG